CTCCGCCTTCCCTCCCCAAAGATCTGTCACACACGATTGATGACGCTGGCGTTGGCCCTAACCCTGTGAAGCTTCAGGGGTTAGGGCTGCGCAGTATAAGCCTATCGTTAAAAAGAAGAAATAAAACTAAAGGAAAAACTGGAACCTTTTACCAAAGTTTACTGTTATCTACTTGCCAAACGTGGAACTTTTAAATTCGTTGCCGTACATTTCACCGTAGAGGCTACGGAATCTTGCCCTAACCCTACCTTTGGCGATGGCGCTCAAAGCGAGATGACGCTCGCTGGTTCTTTGCTCCTCCAGCGGCGGCGCAATGAGCAAGAGGCAGCGCAGTAGAAGCCGCTCCCCTGGACGGCGCCGAAGGGATCGCAGCAGATCGCCCAAGCGATTGAGGTAAGAGTGGAGCTAGCTCGCCCATCCCAATCGCTTATCTCAGTGTACTTTCATCTTCCAGCCGGTCTCCACCGCCGCGGATCCATGGTAAGAAGCAGAAGATCTGTGTGGATTACGCCAGGGGGAATTGCTTCAGAGGGAATGAGTGCTGGTTTCTCCACGACGAGTTTGAGGACAGATACCAGCGGAGGAGCTACAGCCACAGTAAGCGCGACTCGAGCTTCTATCCCAGGGGACGGGATGTGAATGGGAAATCGAGGAGCCGGGAGCTGGACGACGATTACAGGCACAATGGATACTCTCGTAGGGAACGGGAGGAGAGTCCCAGTCACAGGAGATACTCTAGGCGAGATAGTCCCAGTCCCAGGCCATCGACTGAGCGTGTCGAGGAGCAGCATAGAGTGGTGGAAACGCATCAAGAGCGTAGAGCGGTGGAAACGAATCAACAGCATGGAGTGGTGGAAGCTTACGACAGAATGGTGGTGGAAACATGCCAAGAAGAGCACGCACAAATCGAGACACAGGAGCATCAGGATTCGGCTTTACCAGATCACGCTGGGTGTGAAGTAGCTGCAGTGGCTGTGGCTGCCAGAGATGACACTCGAGATGACGCTCGAAATGAAGCTCGTTCAAAGCCACTTCCAGAGGTTGAGCGTGACTTGGAGATGTTTGGAGCGCCGGAGTTTTCTCTCGAGCTACAAAAGACGCAAAGTCACAGCCCGAGTGATGATCGGAAGAAGATGATGGACAGGGAGATGAGATCCTTGAAGGTGCTGAGGAACGCGATCACAGACTTCGTCAAGGAGTCGCTCAAGCCGGCTTGGAAGGAAGGCCACCTGAGCAAAGTCGCGTTCAAGACAATCGCGCAAAAGGCCGTGGACAAAGTCATGGGAACGTTGCAAGGTCACGAAATCCCAAAGGGCCAGGCCAAGATCGAGCAGTTCATGGATTCCTCCCACGCAAAGATCACCAAGCTCGTCAAGGTACCGACACTCTCATTCGTTTCAATTCATCCTTGTTCTCTTTTTGTGCAGGGATACTTGGACAAGTATGTGTCGTGATGTTTTGACAATGGTTGGAAGCCGGAAGATTGATTTCTCAACAGATTGTACTATGTAAGTCTATAAGTATCAATAGCTAACATTTAAGGTACGCGCACTGGTTCTTCTACTCTTCTGTGTTCTTCAATTTCTCTATGGTATTTCTTTCGATCTAACAAAAAAAATCGGTTTTTGATGAGCCAGCTCTAGGTGGTCACTCCAGCAAGATATTGGTCATAGGTCCGGGGTTCTCGGGGTGTGCCTCAAACGCGCTCCACGCCGCTCGGAGACCACACTGGATATCACTGTGGATCCGAGCGCCGCCAAGCAGCGCTCCCCAGGTGGTATCATCGGGAAGATATGGCATGCTCTGGATAAGCTCCTCGGCCTGTGGGAGCTGCCCTGCTCGAGCCAACAAATCCACCATGGAGCAGTAGATCTCAAAGTGTGGAGCTACGCATCGATCTTCCAGCATGTACAAGAAGCACTGGCGGCCTTCTTCGACGAGCCCGACGTGCCAGCAAGCGCTCAGGATGTTCACGCAGGTGGCCTCGTCGGGTGGAATTCCCAGGAGCTCCATCGGTTTGAGCAGCTCCAGCGCTACCTTGCCATGCCCGTTTCGAGCATACGCGGTCGCCATCTCGGCCCAGGGCTTGACGTCCGGGTGTGGGATCCTTGCGAGAAGATCCCGGGCTTCGCCCAAATGCCCGCTCTGGGCAAATGCTGCCACCACCGCGGTCCAGGTGATCCAATTGCGCTCCGGCATGGATTGGAATGCGTGCTTCGCTTGGGCGACGAGGCCGCTCTGGGCGAATCCGGCTGCGGTGCTCGTCCAGGAGACTACATTCCTCTGGGATATCCGATCGAAGGCGGTGCTTGCCTCGTCCATCAGCCCCGCCTGGGCAAAGCTCGAGATCATCGCGTTCCAGGAGACTGGGGCATGGAATCGAAGACGGCCTTGGCCGCGACGGCGTCTCCGACGAGCCCGTGCACGGTGATCATGGCGTTCCAGGAGATCACATCGAGCTGTGGCGCGCGAGAGATCGCGGCGATGGCGTCGTCGACCTGGCGAGATTGGGCGTAGGCGGCGATGAGCGCGTTCCAGGAGACGATGTTGCGAGAGGGCATCGAGTGGAAGAAGGATTGGGCGTCGTCGACGCGACCGCTCTGGGAGAAGACTGTGATCATCGCGTTCCAGGCGATGGAATCCCATTTGGGCATAAGAGAGAACATCTCGACCGCTGGATTCAAATCTCCCGCCGTCGCCAGGCCTTCGATCATGGCCGTCCAGGACACCACGCTCCTTTCCGCCGCGGAATCGAACATCGCCATCGCATCGTCCACATGCCCCTCTTCCGCGAAACCACGAATCATGGCCGTCCACGACACCACATCGTGCTGGGGCATTCTCAAGAACACGCTGCGCGCCCTAGCCACATCCCCGCTCTCGGCATTCGCGACGACGATCACAGTCCAGGGGATCACATCGCGCTCGGGCATTCCATCGAAGATCCTCTTGGCCTCGCGATTCTCCCCGCGCTCGACGTGTGCTGTGATCATCGCATTCCAGGAGACGACGTCGTGCTGCGGCATCCGCCAGAACATCGCGCGCGCGTCGTCAAGATTTCCTCTCCTGGCGTAGCCAGCGACCATCGCGTTCCAGATCACGATGTTTTGCTGGGGAATCGAGTCGAATATCGCCCTGGCATCGTGGATCCGGCCGTGGCGAGTGTAGAGCGTGATCATCGTGGTTCCAAGGTACACATCCCACTGCGGCATGCTCTTCTTGATCTTCTTGGCCTCCGCCACATCCCCTCTCCGAGCATAGGCAGCCGCCAAGGAATTCCAGGTGACCGCATTGCGCTCGGCCATGGCATCGAAGATCCGCCGCGCCTCCTCGACCTCGCCATTCTCGACATAGGCCTGGATCATCAGATTCCCGGAGAAGGAATTGGGGCAAGGGATGGAGTCGTGCACGGATCGCGCGTCGCGGGGGCTGCGGCACTTGCCATACATCTCCACGAGCAGATTGGCGAGGAACAAGCTCTGGACATGGATGCTGCTGCCGCGGATTCGAGCATGCAATCGCCGCCCGCCACACAGGTCGCGGTTCCTCCCGCATTCGCGGACGAGCTCGCCGAGATTCTTCTCCTCAACTCCAGCAGCATCGTCTCTCATCTGCAGATGCCCGGCTATGGCATCGCATTCTCCGCGCTAGAGGAAAGACAGTTACTTACATTCATCGACTCAGGCTAGCTAGAACAAGGGAGATCTGTGAGGAGTTCCTTTGCGGTGGCTTCTGGGCGATGGAGAGGAGACAAGCACTAGGCTTTTACAAGGCGTGGGTGTGGGTGTGGCGGCCATCTCCGACGAGAGCACGGAGTTTGGAGAGGGTGGAACTAGAGTTACTGGTGGGGGATGTTGGTGGCGAGTAGTAGTGGTGGTGGCGGTGGTGGTACTGGGCTCTCGATCTCTCACAACTATCTGGAGCTTGGTCTTCTTGAAGCCCAGTATCCGAGGAGGAAGAACTTCTTCGCCAACGCTTTGCTGCCGCCTCTTGAGAAGATTGACGGTGGTGGTGGTGGTGGTGGCGGCATTCTTATTCTGGTGGTGGTGGTGGTGGTGATGGTCGCTCGTCGCCATGGATGACGATGGAGCTGGATTGAGTTCTTCGCGGTCTTCCAGCGATCCAGTGGGGGATGACTTACCTGGAGAAGGCCCTTCAGCTGCAATGCTACTGCATTATGTCCCACACGAGCACTTGGAACACTTCCTGATGAACTATGAGGAGAATTCCAACGAAGCTCCGCTGCAAAAATAAAAATAGAAAGAAGCTTTCAGAAAGAATTAACTCGAGTTTTATTACTGCTCACCATCAAGAAAACCGGACGTCCATGAAGGGTGTTCTAGCTGCAGCAGCAATTATATTACGGTTCATCAGCGCCTTTTCTCGCTCCAAGCTTTTGATTATCTTTGTCATTTCGGCCTGCATAATTCCCGCGTCTTGAAGGTCCTGTTGTGAAAGTTCTAACTGAGCTTGCAAAACTCTAGCGTCTTTTAACACTGACTCCTTCCCGACGAGACAAACTCTGCCATTAAATCGAATGAAACCATGAACAGCTTCACTAACCTGAACTCTGCCATAAAAATCAACCATCGGTAGAACATACTCTTCAGCAGTCTTTGTCCTGATCTCTCCAGCATAATATGAAGATGTTGTCTGTGAAATTTCTGCCTTTTGGACATTAAGAGCCAGGCTTTAAAGACCTCTGACGTGCAAAACAATACCTCAGCTTGGCAGATTGTCGAAAACGGAAACGCAACAGCAAGCGATCTTCAGTCAACCGCACTTTCCAGCCGCTGAACGCATTCTGGTGAAGATCTAAACGCTGCGATTCCTGAGCTTCAGATCTCTAGTTGTTCTTTTTGCTTCTGCTGCTGCTGCTCAAACCAAACCCAAGTTAAAAAATCAAATGAGAATATCTATTAGATATCAACTGCTATTGTACAAATTATATGTAATACCGAACATCGAGCAACAACATTAACAACACTGATGCTAAATAGTGGCAGAATTAAGAATGTCATATAACTTTGGTAAATCACCATAAATCATCAAATCACCATAAGATAAAAGGCGAAAAGCCTGCTTCTGGAGTAGAGCAGCAATCTGACAGCGGATTTGACATTGTGACTGATCACAAACTCCTTAGACGCATAGCCGCAGAGCTGAGAAGCCGCCATAGCCATGCCCAGGGCTTTTTGTTCGTGTGTTCAGAGTTCAATGGTTACAGTCAGATCAACGGTCAGATCTACAATAAGGACATATCCACGCGTTGTCGTCGTCAACGCCCTCAGAGAAGTTGACACAGTCCTTGTGGTGAAATACTGCAACTTCACAATCTCGGTGTGAGCAGACAACCACAGCACCTTCATCCACTAGATATCTTCATTTGCTGCAGATTGCATTTTTAACAATCAAAACATTAAAACCGCACGAAACACATACCACGAGATGGCGGTGCCTCTACCAAATTCAGTGAAACAATTTGTTGCTGTAGCTCGAAAAGGCTGAGCTCAAAATGAAAATCTTGATCAAGC